TTATTGTGTCGAATTATGGATGAAAAATATCCAAATTCAATTTAACTTTAGAATTATTAATGCCATCAATAATTTTAGGAATGGTGGAGCTTTTCCATCGTTGTGTCCTACACAATGGAGCACTAAGTAAATTATTATTTCTCAAATTCCTACCGTGATTGCGATAGGGGGGAAGCATATCACGAAACAATTTCGAAGCAAGAACTCCATTACCAAACTTCATCATTAAATTTTCTCTCCTAGTATTAAGAGAAGAGAGCCCGGACAATATTAAAGCACTATCATAACTACAGTAATCCATACCAAAAATACTCCTAAGCGCCCTCTTTTGAACCCGCTCAATTCTATTTCGTTGGATAATGGTTAAAGAACAATGCCACAATGGGCATGCGTATTCCAAAACAGGACGAATGTAAGTAATGAAAACGCATAAAAGATCATTTACGGAGGCTTTAGCTTTCCTTAGAACTGAAAGCGTAAAAAGGCGCTTAGAAGCTTTAGAGATACATTCATTCACATGTTTGTCCCATTTTAAATGCCAAAAGTTAGTCTAGATATCAATTTTCAGTTAATTATCTTTATTCTATTTGAAAATATGGCTAATTGAAAATGCAACTTTACAAATATGTCATAATTGGTAGCTAAAAAGGGGTATGACCCTAAAATTTCAAATGGCCGTAACTTCTAAACGACTTGGAATTGGCAAGTCAAATTTCGGGTTTGTTCGTCAGACATGTTGGTGCACATTATATCCGAGTTTCAAGAAAATCTGAGACGGTACCCAGCCATCCCATTTGCTGAGTTGGCACGGAATGACCCTATACCTTGCAATAGGATCTTTAAACTGTTCTTTAAACTATATAAAACTAGTAGTTGAAACAAAGGAATTAAAGCAACAAGTCATGCGGCCTCTATAGAACCCCCAGGAAAATTTTGATTCTTAGATGGCGGGAAATGCGCTTTCCAGACTGAGGAGTCTTTTAAGTTCTTCAAAATTCAAGGTTTTCCCCCTCTTGAAAACGGTCAGGCAAACTTTCTCATTCTTATTACAGTACATTAAATAGGCCTATACGTGCCGGTACATAAAAAAAAGAATTGAGTTGCTTACAGTACGTATTCTTTTTTCCCATGAATTGCTAACCCCAAAGAGGAAGGGGGTCCGGAGGTTTTCCCCCAGGAAAATTTTGATCACTTGGTGGCAGGAAATGAGCTTTCCCGACTTCTGAGGTGTCTTTTAATGACTTTTAAGTTCTTTAAACTTTAAGGTTTTCCTCCGCTTGAAAACGATCAGGTAAACTTCTCATTCTTATAAATACTAGTAGCCCACTATGTGTGTATGTACAGTACATAACAAAAATTGAGTTGCTGCATACATATTCTTTCTTCAACAAATAGATGAACCCCAAATAAAACGGGGGTCGCCTCCCTGGGAAAATTTTGATTCTTACTGAGGTGGCAAAAAAAGAGTTTTCCCCGACTTTTAATCAAAATTCAAGGTTTTCCCCTCTTGTAAACGTCAGGCAATTTTTTCTCATTCTTATTACAGTAAATAGGCCTGTGTGTACCGGTACACAGAAAAATTTTTCTTTCTTTTTTTCTTTTTTTTTTCCCAAGATCTAAATGACAAATTGTGGCTGATACAAGAGATATACAAAATAAACAATATTATTGTGATAGGCTTAGAGTTAGGGGCCGATTATCACATAGCTTATGTAACCACTTATTTACTCTAGCCTAAGCTGCGATTAAAGCGGTGAAAAGTGATCAGGGTTTGATAAATTAACAAACGAAAACAAAATTAAAGTATTGATAGCTATAGTAGTGTATAAGGCTACAAGATGAACATGAATAAATACACATAGGCCTAAGGCTAGGCTAGTAAAAGATATAAAAGACAATACATTACTGCAAGCTACCAACCTTTTTGTTAGTTTAGGCTGCAGTAGACCTAGTTGCGAAAGAGATACTCGGTCGTATGGGCGGAGTTTACTGTACATGTTAAATAAATAAAAAGTTTCACGCCGCCGTCAGAAAAGTTTCATTTTTCTGTGCAAAAATAACTTTGTCGCCTTTTAAAATACTGTATGCTGCCCTCACCGTTATAAATTGTCTTGTCCTTACGGCGAATTGTCTTGTCTGTACGGCGAATTGTCTTGTTCATACGGCGAGTGATTCTCTTGTCCTTACGAGAATTTGTATTGTCCTTACGGCAATTTGTATTGGCCTTTCGGCAATTTTTATTGTCCTTACTGCGTGAGAGTGGGATTGTTCGTACGCCAATGTTTGTCTATTTTGGCCCTAATGGCCGCCCATATTTTTTTGTACAATTTGAAAACCATTCAAGTTTCTGCAAAGTTTGCAAACTGTACAAGGCAAGATTGTTGCACCGTTATAAAATGTGCTCATGTGCTACTGTTGAGGGGTAGCTCATGCACAATTTTACTATTAATTATTCTGTTTGAGTAGCTGTGTGACAGGCTTATCAATCATCGGAAAGTGGAATCGTCGAGGTCATGTGTATGTACCGTACATGGATTGTGGGGAAAGATGGGATGGGGGTGGGTAGGTGGTTGGGTGTGGTTATTTTTTCATTTAATTTTATTTGATCACAAATGGCAGTACAATTAACACTGAATTTCATGTGATTAACAATTAAAATTCATCATAAAAATTATGTAAAAAAAAAAAATCAGTGCAAGTTAAATTTACTGAATTAATTAAAATTTTACAGGTACAAAGATACTCAAAATTTACATAAAAAACACTACTTATTCTACCACTATTAAGAGACATTGAGACAATAATATAAAAAAATATTTTAAGACAGTAAAAGAACATTAAAGTAACATTAAAATTGGACCATGGAGACTTTTGCTGTTATTTAATCGAATGATAATGACTTCATTGTGGTATTATTCAATCTTCCAGTCAAATGCATGCATTGCATTACTGTACATGGATGAATTGTGTTTGAATTAACATAAGTTAAAGATATAATAATATATTAAAAACAAAATAAACTGACAACATTAAAAAAATGAAGGGAAAAATCTGTCCGAAAAGCAAATCATACACCAAAATAAAAGACAAGCCAGGTCCTAATTAAGACGTATACATACTTTCAATCATCATAAAAGTCTATGACAATTTTTAATTGTACTGTACTCACTTTTTTGCTTTGCATTTTCCTATTTTAATCTACAGTAGGCCTATATAATTTATTTGTCAACTTATCAATCAATTAATTAATTAATTAATGTTCAATTTAATATCATTTCTTTAATAATTCTAGCCTACGGTAGGCCTTACTAAGGCTAGAGAGAGGTTCGCCTGAAATAGCGACCCAGCAGGAATCAATTTTTATTCTTATTTTACGATGGTTACTGAAAGAAACCTTTTGCAGTTTGCATACTGCGCGCACAGTTTCAAAGACTTTGAAACAACATCAGCAACTGAAAATAAGCAAAATGAACAAACTGCGCTCAACAGTCATTCTACTTGAGGCCTAGTATTACTAGGCTACTCCCTAGACTAGGCCATACACTGTGCCATCTGTTTTTGGCTGCCAACTAGTTTGGCCATGATGTATCACCCAGAATATCAGGAAATTAAGCTAGCCCCTAGTTTGGTTTGTCTTAATCATTTATGATATCAAAGTGACTGTTCACATGGTACCATGCACATAAGATCTTTTCTGCACGACACACCCAGCCAATAAGAAAGATGTGGTGATGCCGGTTGAAATAAAAGTGATGATATTGCCTTGCTTTGTTTATCCCTCAATCAGGGCTGAGTACTGAGCAGTTTGATTTGTTCTAACTGAATTGAACTAAGTTCAATTCTATTAACAACATTTTAAAAAGTGGTGAGGCATATAATGTAGTTAAATGTTATGGCAAGTTGAGGAGGCAATCATTGAGGATGTTATAGTTTTTCCTTGTTGTCATCATTTTTCGAAAGGACCTCTTTGTAGTAATTTTTATATTAAGCAGCTTAAAAAAATTGGAACTTTTTTGTGTCCATACAGTAAAAACATTTCAAAGATTCAAAATACTATTATTTTTTTCTAAATTTTTTGTAATGTGTCTCTTTTTTGACCTTTACCTTGCAATAGGATTTTTATTTCTTTTCTGAATGAAGTGATTGTTGAGAATGAAATTTTTTGTGAACAACAATGAAACTACCATGATTAAACAGACCCTTGAAAATCACAAACAAATACAAAACTGACATTCAGCATGGACATACCTGCTGGGAGCCCATTGCGCAATGATGTTGTTGTGAATGTATGTGGCTAAGCTTAGAATGATTTGATTTACATTAACGCAAACCTTGACTTTCTCACCACCATCTGTATTCATTCCCATCACTGCATCTTTTTCTGGGGATAGGTGATGACAAACTACTACTAATACTTTTATAAAAAAAATAAATTGTTTGTTTGCCCTTCTTTTTCAAAAAATGATAATTAAGGGCGGGCGGGTGGAAAAAGTTTTTTTTTATTTATTTATTTTTTTAAATACTCATTAAGATAGAATAAAAATAACCCACAGAGGCCTAGAATGGCAATATCTTTCATTAGACAACAACTTTAGACTAATTTGTAGGGCATCTGGCAAAAACATAAAAAAATAAAATAATAAATAATAAATTCACTCAAAATTTTTTTAATTAGTAAAAATAAAGCTAAAAAGAACTTTTTAAGTTTTTTTTTTTTTTTAGTGAGTTAGGGGTGGGTGGAGGAAGGCAAACTAACAATTTTTTTTTTGGCCGTATGTTTTATCATTCACAAAATTTGTGTAAGTGAATTGGGTGGTTACAGCCATTGAGCTGGCATATGCTTCCTCAAACACTCTTCCGCTCTATACCTGCACTACTGTAGGTTCAGGGTATGGTCACGTCTAGTATACCCATAGGCCTGCCTTAGTTCATTTACCAGTATTATACTGGTTAATTCACACAATTGTTTAAATCTATACAAACACATGTTTTTGATACAGAAAGGTGATACCAAAATCCAGAATCAGAAGATGAAAACAGACAATCATACAGCTTGTAATGCACAATTGTTATACTTCACAGCATCTCAGTAATCAATACATCATCCATTACTGGGCACACACCTAAAGAGGCACTGATAAACAACCATGGAGTATCAGCATGAGGGGTGAGTATTGTATTGTACCATTGAACAATTTGGACAGAACAAAATATCTTTCAAAATGATTCTAGTTTAATGGATTGGCATGTTATTTTACGATCATTTCATCTGGATCAATATGGTAGGATTTCTTTTTATGATTATCCAAAAACAAAGATGTTTTTGACTTGCAACATAGATAAAAAATAAGCAAAGTTTGGTTTTAGTACTACTGTACTTAATTATATCTATATTTTATTTTCATGTTAATGAAAACTGTTTTAATTAAAATATAAAAACTGTTTTAATTAAAATATAAAAACTGTTTTTATTAAAATATTTTCGTAAATCTTGTTAATAATGACGATAGTGATCGGGCCATGTCCAGGATTGCAATTTTAAGGAAGTACAGTCTCAATTGTCTTAAGAATACAGACCTTTCCTGATTTGGGGGATGTATGAGCACCCATCACACCCCCTGGAAATATGGTGATGATACCTGATACCTGGTGATGATGTCAAATATTAAAATTCATCATTCACGATTGATAAAAGTAGTCTGTATTAATATCATGTCAAAGGAAAATATACTGTAAGATTCAGTTACAAACTTTGCTTGTGTATTATTTCACAGAAATGTGTTATTTGAGGCTATTGGACACCGTGACTGGCAAGAAGCAAGACTTATCTGTGAAGAACATCCCCACCTTATTAACACTCACAGAGCCGTTTGGGTGTGTATTCAGCTGATTATATACAATTCTGGGTGTGATTTAGTGATGAATTATCATTTTATTGGTTCTTCACTTCAGGCCTAAAGTTACTGTAGTCCCAAACATTGCCTTAAGGCCTGTCTAGACTCTAAAATTTTATTTCACAAAAACATGTGACATGCCCAAATATGGTCATGATGACATCACATTGTGACCATATTTGGGCACATGATGACTATATATGGGCATATAACTTTTTTTTTTGTCAAAGAACATTTTATAGTGTGGACAGAGCTTTAGTTTTAGTAATTATTAGCTGTGTGAGGCTTGTGTAGGCCACGGCTTGTGTAATATCCTCAGCTAGGAGGATTCAGTGCTTATGATGGTCCATCTGTGCAACTGTTCTTTGTACAGTGATTTCAATGTTTGCACAGACAAATTTACATTCTTTCTCCACCCTACCCAGTTCCCTTCCAATATGTTGTTTATCCTCACAACTGATTCCCAGCCAAACCCAACTTTTTTTGCTAAAATGGAAAAGACAATTGCCAAAAAAGCGCCGTAACAAATCTTGGCTTGTCATTGCCAAGATATTGTGACCAATACAAATCAGTGCAGTGAATATAATGAACAAGAGTTAAGAACATAACCACATCAATTTAACAACAAAGGTACAACTCTCTTACAATTCTGCTGCAGTAAACTATGTTTTTTTTTTCCCATTACTACGGTAGAACAAGATTTTTCCCTAACATTTCCTATAAAGTTGTACTTCTATGGTGAATCATGATTGACCACAAAACCATAGCAAACATTGTGTGTGTGGGGAAGGGCATTAAAGTGTTAGTTGGCCTTGCCAGCATTTATTTTTTAAATTATTGTACTTGCATTTTCTGATCCCCTGGTGTAAGCTGATCCCCTCAACCCTAATTTACACTGTATTACGAACGTTTTTATGTGTGTCTTGCACTATACAGATTGCTTACAATTTTGTAAACAATGAGTCCACCTACCAATGATTTGAATGTCTGATGAAGGTATGTTGTTATTTTGTACATTTGTATGTCTGTTTTATAGAATGGTGAAACACCATTATTACATGCTATGACACGAAAACCACCTGCACCAGAAGACTTGATGCTACTGATGGTTGAAAAAGCTACAGTAGGGAATATAGAATATGAAAACCCGGTAAATGAAATTCAATAGCATTGTATGTTATTCAAAAAACAAAACATGTATATATATTATATACCGGTAATAAACTAATTAACTCAGTAAATTACAGTCAATTATTTCATTCTGGACTAGCGGTGAGATTTTTTATTGTTTTATTTAAAACTGAGTAGCCAGCCTATGATCATCATTTCAAAATATAATATATAAATAAGAATTTTTTTTAATGTGAGAGATAATGATGTTTATAGATTAATTTATACTATTTACTGGTTATATTGTTGACAAAAAAAATGCTATACTGTATCACAATTAGTCTTGCTTGAAAATATAAATTGAAATTGTGTCTTAGAAGAAGTGAAGTTGTCTTTTTAATTATTATGTTGTATGCATGGTTTTACTTGAAAATCATCATTAAAAAACATTGAAATATGTAATATTTATGTATAAAATTATTAAATATATGCAGCTAATGACATGACATGTTATTGTGATTAGTTATGTGTATTGTTGGTATGTTTTTATTCCTTTACCTTATTTTATGTTTGTCTTTTAGGTTGAGGAAAATATTATGAGTCATTTGGCAATGCATATGTATACATCAGCATTGAGATGTGCATTGAAAAAGTCTCCCAGAAAAATAATTATGAAAAAATCGTACTCAGTCTTCAGTAACCTGATTAAAGCTGCAGGTGTGTCCACAAAGAACTTTCTTTTGGCAACTCCATATCAGACTTTTTCATTTTGTACTATTCCATTCCTCAGGGTTGAATTTTGGGACCTCAGTGGTTTTCATGAAATTTTAACCTTTCTTATCATATTTATGCTGATGATAAACAGGTCTATATTTCTTTTAAACTTTCTGAAGAATTTGATGTGAAGATTGAATCTCTCAGAAATTGTATTTCTGAGTTGAAAACTTGGATGTCCGAAAACTTCTAAAAGTAAATGAGCACAAGACAGAATTCATCGTCTTGTTCCCCTCAACAA